TCTTTTTCCTCATCTCACTATTTGAATTTTATACAATTAAACCTTTAATTTGATTAATTAAACTTTTGGAATTTTAATTTTGGTTCCTAAATTTCATTTGTTTTAATTGACATCAAAATTTACTTTCTAAAGTTGATCTCCTTACAATAAAAGTATCAATAATTTTAATTAAATTTTTTAAAATTTCAATCGAGCCTTTAAATGCCTAGAATATTTTTACTAATGAGTCCTTTTGTTAATCAAAACTTTGAGGTGCTAATTTGGATATTTTTATTTATCAACTTTTACTTGGTGTTATGGTCTTCCACCATTAAACATGGACAATCAACAAAGTTGGATGGACAAACTATCCTTACAAAAAATTCAGATATAAAAGACCTCATTGCCTTTTTTTTCTTTTTCTTTTTTGACCATGGATTTTGAAAGTGTAAAAGGGAGTTAAAATATTTTGTAACTCTCCCCTTTCCCTCTCCTTTCCTCTAAGAACCTGATTGATGAGACCAAGTTTGACTTATCAGAAAACAAAAGGATTCAATAAATTCTACCTTTAATTATAATATGGATTCCATTATACTGCTTTTTCTCTTTTAAAAAAATCTATAAACATGGGAGTGAGAGGTTTCTCTGATTTATTATTTTTTAGATGATAATTTCAACTCGAATTTTAAGTTTTAAATGAAGTGTGATTACTACTGTTAATGGAGATTCTTTGTAATAAACGGGGAAAAAAGAAAAAAAAGAAACCAAACGCATTATTTGTAATGAACGGGAAATATAATTTTCGAAAGCAGAAAGACATCAATCAAGTTATTTGTAATAAAAGGAGAAAAGTAATTAGGAAACCACCATTTAATTATAATAAAAAAAAGGAAAAATAGTTTTTGAAATTAAAATAAAATCAAGATTATTTGTATTAAAGAGAGAGAGAGAAAAAATCTACTGTTGAATCAGTATTTATCAGTGTTTCTCAAAATAAACTTTTTAAAAGGATTGATGAATTTAAAAATTCATAACATATTTAGAATATAATTGTGATTTTAATTATTTTAAACTTAAAAATATATTAAAATAATATATTTTTTTATTTTTATAAAATTATTTTTGACATCAACACATTAAAATAATTTAAAAATACTAAAATAATATTAATAAAAAAATAAAAAAATTTAATTAATATTTTTAAAACACAAAAATAAACATAATTTACAACAATCAACTAAAAAGTCACAGACAAAGGCAATATTGGTGGCCCAACCATCTACTGCTGGCTGCTTATCACCTACGAGGCTACTACAACCAACCACGTGGGGTAAGAAGAAAAATAATTTTCATGATTAAAAAAATAATAACTTGTTATTTTTCATGCCACATGGTAGCAGTTCATTGGTCAACGTAAAGTGAATTAAAGGTCGTGAGCAGATTGGAGTAGTTCCATCTCTGATATGAATTACCAAAAATCTAGCCCAACTAAATATTTAAAATAAAAGGATTGATTCTTGATATGAATTAAAATCAAGTAGACATTATTGCAAGTTAATAGTTCAGAGATAGCAGTGATTTATTTATTTATTTTTGCAGAGTATAACAGGTTATAGAAAGAGGCCAGCTGTCCAACTGAAGAAGTTAATGAGACATCGTAGGAGCCAACTGTCCCAATTGTCTTTTACCGAATGTTAGAGTTGTGTTGGTTTTCTCAAAAGTAACTTTTATAAAGTTATTTTTTAAATTTATTTGTTATTAAAAAAAAATTAATCAATAATTTTTTTTAATTAAATAAAAATTTAACTTAATTTTTTAAAAATTATTTTTATAAAAAATTAAAAAAATACTTTTTGAAAGTTGAAAATTGTGAAAAATTTAAAAATATTATATTATTTGTTTATTATATCAAATTTGATTTTTAAATTTTTGATTATTATATATATATATATATATATATTTTTTGTTTTGAATATTTATTTTTTAATTTGATCTTTTAAAATTTAATTTTTATATTAATTTTAATTTTAATTTTTATAATTATTATTTACTTTTTTCTTATTATATGTTTTATTAAAAAAATTTATCTATAAAATTTGATTCTTGTTCTTTTAATTATTACTTATTTTATTTAAAATAATTTATAAAATATTAATTATTATTATCTTAATTTTTTTATCTTTCACTTTTTTTAGATATGATGTTTATTATTTGATTATTATTATAATTTATGAAATTATATATTTTTTTTAATTTTCATTCTTATTCAATTTTTTAATTGTAAGATTTGTTTTTTAATATTTTAATAAACTTGGTAAAAATACAATATTAATAAGTTATTTTCCAACTTATTTTTTATTACACTATCAAACATTATAAAATAATTATTTTTTTTGAAATTTATTTTTCAAAATAAAACTATTTTCCAGCAAACAAATGAGGTTTTAGGTTTACTTACAATAATTTTATTTTAATATTTTTTATATGTTTTTTTAAATACTAAATTAATTCTTTTGATTTTTTTTATAATTTTGATTTATTTTTTAAAAAATAAAAAATAAAAAATAAATATTTTTAATATTTTTTTAAAATAAAAAATACTTCTAAAAATCATCTTAAACCAAAGGAATACAATTAATGATGAAGACAAAGGAAAAAGTTAGCTGTAAATGTCACAAACATATTTTTTTTGTTTTGTTTTTCCTTTCTCTTTCAATAAATAAATGTAAATGGTCTTTTTCAAAGCGGAAATAGACATATGAAAACATTGAAAATAAAATTGCCAAAATCAGCCGACAGGTAACACGTGGTTGTGATGCGAATCATCTTCATATACTATAAGGACATCAAGATCATGACACCATTTTCATGTAAAGCTTAGAACAATCTTTTCTTACCAAAAGTTGAAATTATTATGTTTTTGTCCCCAGGTAGATCATACCGCTTGAATTGGCAAGTACTAAATTGCCATTGGTTTGGATCGTGCAATAATGTTACTATTTTTAGCTTCCAAGTTCTTTTTACATTATGGGACATTTGATATTGTAATAATTTTTATTTTTTTATTTAGTTAAAAAAATCATTTTATTAGTTGCGTTATCCCTAAAGCCCTAAAAAAATAAAATAAAATTTAAATATAAAAACAAAAATTATATAGTTTTTATTTCTTTATTATTGTGTTGTTTGTTATTTGTATCTAGCCACTTGCAATTATTTAATTTATAAAAAATATATATATTTTTATAAGCTTGCTTGCGGGAATTATTCAGGATAGAGTATAAAGCTGAAATAAATAAATAAAAAAATGCTATTTTAATAAATCCAATCGCTGTTTGAATAGACCCAATTTTCTTCGTTGCTCTTTACATTAAGCCTCACATGTTATTAGTTTTATAGAAATTAAAATAATATGTTTTCATTCATGAAAACACACTTTTAATTTATTTGAAATATAAAAATCCATCTCATAACAGTTTTAACACACAAATCTATTATTAAAAATCTAATTTTTTAAATCACAACTAAAATTATTTTTTTTAAATCACAACCCAAAGAAAATAAACAAAAAAGAAAGAAATATGTCTCTTTATGTTTAATGTCTTGATAATATAAAAATTCAATTCAAAATTATTTTGAAGATATATTTATTTTATATCTCTATTTCTATTTTCTTAACTAAATATATTTTTATTTTACGTTATATTTTTCTCTTTTCTAAAACACTAACCATAAAAAGTCCTAAGGGTTAGGAATCTCAAAATCTGTCCACATGCAGGCGCTAGTAGTTAGTCTTCCATTCCTTATCTCTGGCTCTATTTCTAACCTTGCAGTGGATCCTTGGAGTGTATAAATGGGCTGCATTTTTGTTTTTATCCTTTCGATTCTTCTAGCTTGTAATAATAAAAAAACAAATGTCAGATTTATATTCAAGACAATGATGAAAAACTCAGAGCATTGTGGCCTGGACTCCGAATTTCAAAACTCGACTCCTCTTGCGACTGTAGCTAGTCTTCGTTTAAAGGAAAGAGATATATTCCTTAAAAACTACTTTTAAGTCTTATGAAGGCACCAATTAAAAAATAAATTGTTCAAAGTCATGTTAAAAATGGAGTTAATTTTAATGCATAAGTAAGTTTTAAGATATTCTTATTGCTAATATATATATATATATATATAGACACATTTGGAAACCCGAGCCATCCTATATTTTCAACAAATTCAATTTTTTATGAAAAATTAATTTTTTTATGTGTTTTAAATTATTTTGATATGTTAATTTTAAAAATAATATTTAAAAAATAAAAAATATATTTTTAATATATTTAAAAATTATTTTAAAAAATATTTTATAATTACACTTTCAATCAAACTCAAGTTAATAATTCAAACTTATAAAAAAACCATATTTTTTAGACAAGTAAACGAATTAATAAGTATAAGAAAATAATAGATGGAGTCTTTTCCAAGCATAACAAAAGGTAGTCTTTGTTTAATTTTTATATTAAACGTGATGAAATCTATATTCAATGATTTGAAATTTGGACAAGCATGCAACATGTAGAAATTAGCGAATTGATAAATATAAGAAAATATAAACTATTTCTTTTTTTTTTCAAGCATAAGAAAAAGTAGTCTTCATTGATCAATTTTTACATTAACCGTGATAAAATTTATATTCAATGAATTGAAATATTTTTTTGTGATAAATATTATACATCATTTAGTAAGTAAAATATTCTAGCAACTCTAACATGATTTATAAACACAACCTCTTGGGGTTTTAACTAGACAAGCATTGAAAATTCATAAACATAACGTAATGAAGGTGAATTTTATCTTCTTTTTGTGATGGGAAGAATAACAAAAAGTAGCATAAATACGTTCTCTAAGCTCATTATCATAAGCTGCAAAAATGGAAAGTAATTTGAATCTGAGGTTTTAGATGAAAGAGACGACTAGTAAAGGCTTCAAAATGGTGCAAGCAGCCTGAAAGGAGTGTTTAGCAATCGTTCAACTAGTCAAAGAGTTCTAGACCCTTTGGCCCACCATTCACACTTTCAAAATTCGTCAATTCACTTCAGTTTTCACATGTAAAGCAAGACGACTAATGTGACCAAGATCTTGGGCAAGAAAGAAAAGAAGAATCAAAATTTGTTCTGTGAAGTTAATTTTGGCACCCCTGTCACATGAGAATATCTTTAAACTAGAAGCAGAGCAGCTCATTAGCTAGGCAACCAAACGAAAAAACCATGAAAGGCATTGCAAGACTTTCCTTCTTCTTCTTCTTCTTCTTCCTCCTCTTCCCAGTTTCTAAAGGTGCAGATATCGTAGCTGTAAACCAGACAATCTCAGATGGCGAGACTATAGTTTCAGCTGGGAACAGCTTTGAATTGGGATTCTTCAGCCCCAAAAGTTCAAGTTTGCGTTATGTAGGAATATGGTACAAGTTCTCTAATGAGACTGTGGTTTGGGTCGCCAACAGAGAAGCACCACTCAATGACACATCTGGAGTTTTGCAAGTTACCAGCAAGGGAATCCTGGTCCTCCATAATTCAACAAATGTTATTTTATGGTCTACTAACACATCAAGACAGCCCCAGAATCCAGTGGCTCAGCTTTTGGATTCAGGAAATCTTGTTGTTAGGGAAGCAAGCGATACCAACGAGGATCATTACTTATGGGAGAGTTTTGACTACCCAGGTAACGTGTTTTTGCCAGGCATCAATTTTGGCAGGAACTTGGTTACTGGCCTTGATACGTACTTGGTGTCATGGAAAAGCTCTAACGATCCTTCATTGGGTGATTCAACAACTAGGCTTGATCCTGGTGGATATCCACAGATTTATATCAGGGTTGGTGAGAACATAGTCTTCCGATCAGGACCATGGAATGGTGTTAGATTCAGTGGGATGCCTAATTTGAAACCGAACCCGATTTACACTTATGGGTTTGTTTACAATGAGAAGGAGATTTGTTACAGGTATGATCTGACGGACAGTTCAGTTGTTTCGCATATGTTGCTGACCAATGAAGGAATTTTGCAGCGTTTCACCTGGACTAATACCACAAGGACATGGAATCTGTACCTGACAGCCCAGATGGATAATTGTGATCGGTACGCAGTGTGTGGTGCATATGGAAGTTGTAACATCAACAATTCTCCTCCTTGCGCGTGCTTGAAAGGGTTTCAACCAAAATCTCCTCAAGAATGGGAATCTGGGGATTGGTCTGGAGGATGTGTTAGGAAGAATGAATCAATTTGCAGGGCAGGAGAGGGGTTTCAGAAGGTACCAAGTGTGAAATTGCCAGATACAAGGGCATCCTCGTTTAATTGGACAATGGACTTTGAAGAATGCCGAAGGGTGTGCTTGATGAATTGTTCTTGTACAGCTTATTCAACTTTGAATATCACAGGTGGATCTGGATGCTTGCTTTGGTTTGATGAGCTTCTTGATATCAGAGAGTACACTGTAAATGGGCAAGATTTTTACATTAGAGTATCTGCTTCTGATTTAGGTATGGACCCTTTCATTCTTCTTTTCTTGGTCTGTTAAATTATTGTGTTTCTTTCTTTCACAAGTTAAACAAATGTCCATAGTGGTGCAGATGCTTTAGACCTATGGATACCTTTCGATTTCTGGGATGAAAAGGCCAAAGAACATGGTTGAATGCACATGGGATTTATTTTTTATTTCTTCTTTCTTGTCATTGATGGTTGAAATTAGAACCCGCATCATGTCTAATTCCTCTTTCATTTCTTTACTGATTATGTATTTTAGTAGGAGATACAAGCGTCCTGAAAAGATCCATATAAAATTCCATTAGCAAGAACTCGATAGTTTATATCTCAAGTAATTAAAATAGTTTATACAAACGTCCTGAAAAGACTCATATAAAAGGGTTCTCCCTCTTTCAAATTTGGTAATTAAAATCCTAATTGAGGTAGTAGAAAATCTTACGACATTACAATTGCTTCGTTTTTTTCTGCTTAAAACTGGTTTTACAACTTGTTCACATTGGTTACGCAGAGCCAACCAGCATACCTAAGAGGAAGACGCGAGTGTGGATTATAGCCATCTGTTCATTGGTTGCTGGAGTTACCATTCTAGGCGTTGGCCTGCTGTTTCTGATGAGGAGGAAGCCTAAGACAGTAGGTAATTTCTATCAAGCCCTGTTATTACACTTCTGATTGTTGATTGATTTAATAGGAAAAGGAATTATTACATTGGATATTCTGCAAAGCAGTTACTCTTTGATATACTTGATGGCTTCCATATCGTTCTGGTCCTTTCCAAAACCAGATGATCATCATGGTGGAATATGTAGAAATGTATGATTCATGCAGTACATTTCCCATTTCACAGGAAAGATGGTTTCAATGAGAGAAAGAGACATAATTGATAGCACCGATAAAGATCTAGAGTTGCCAGTATTTGACCTCGCAACCATAGCAATTGCCACTAGCAATTTCTCAGATGACAATAAGCTTGGAGAGGGTGGATACGGACCTGTCTACAAGGTAAAGCTTCTAATGAGAGAGCTTTCTGTTAGTTCATTCTACCAAAGTATACGTTGCTACCTCTATCTTCCAGATTCAATTTTGAAATGAGAATTACCAGTCCAAAAAATCTTTCAGGGCACGCTTAAAGATGGGAAAGAGGTAGCTGTAAAGAGGCTTTCAAAGACTTCCACACAAGGACTTGATGAATTCAAAAACGAAGTTATATGCATTGCGAAACTTCAACATAGAAATCTTGTGAAACTTCTTGGTTGCTGCATTGAATCTGAAGAAAATATGTTGGTCTACGAATACATGCCCAACGGAAGCTTGGATACCTTCATCTTTGGTATGGCAATCTGAAGACTTCAATCTAATTAGTTTTCACTTGTCTACTAATCGCATATCAAAAGCTGAAATTATCATTTTTCACTGCCAACAGTGATACCATAAAATTAATTTTGTCATGGTAAGAGATATCGATGCTATGAAAACATACTGTTGTTTGCTTTAATGGATTAAAATTGATCAAACTTTTTTTCAGATAAAAAGCAGAGCAAAATATTGGAATGGTCTATGAGGCACCACGTTATCAATGGGATTGCCCGTGGACTTCTTTATCTACATCAAGATTCCAGGCTAAGGATCATCCATAGAGATCTTAAAGCTAGCAATATATTGCTGGACTTTGAAATGAACCCAAAAATCTCAGATTTTGGCATGGCCAGGAGTTTTGGTGGAAATGAAATTCAGGGAAACACAAAAAGAGTGGTTGGAACATAGTAAGCATTTTAGACAGGCTGCATATTGTCAATTCTCGCTGCTTGCAACATTAGTAACTTTGTTCAACAATTTCTTGCAGTGGCTATATGTCTCCAGAGTACGCAATTGATGGGCTCTTTTCTATAAAGTCTGATGTATTTAGCTTCGGTGTTTTGGTGCTAGAGATAGTAAACGGGAAGAGAAACAGAGGATTTTTTCATCCAGAACACAAGCACAACCTTCTTGGTCATGTAAGTATCAAATCTTTAAACCCCCCCCATATTGAACGTAGGCTGATTTATTGGTTGAACCTGAAATGAATTTGGTCTTGGAATTCAGGCATGGAGACTTTACAAGGAACAAAAGTCATTCGAGTTGATCGACGAATCTTTAAACAATACCTGCGATTTATCTGAAGTCTTGCGAGTGATCCATGTCGGTTTACTGTGTGTGCAACAAGCTCCGGAGGACAGGCCTACTATGTCAACTGTGGTGCTAATGTTGACCAGTAACATTACATTGCCTGAACCAAAAGAGCCTGGATTTTTCACAGAAAGGAAGTTATTTGATCAAGAGTCTTCATCTAGCAAGGTGGATTCGTGTTCCGCAAATGAGATTACTATTACACTGTTAACTGCTCGATGACAGACAATTTTGTGTTTTTTTTATTCATGTTTGTATAAATTATATCAATGAGAGGTGTATATTCTTCATTTCTGTGCCAGTCCTTTCTCACTCAGGAATTCAGCTTACTGGTAAGGAATTCAGCTTCTACAAGGGTTACAAAGACGAGACCTGGCAGAACATAAAATGTACCTAGATCTGTAGCGCGGCAGAAGAACATAAAATGTACCTAGATCTGTAGCGTGCAAGAAGTTTAATTATTTACCTGGTCAAGAATCCAGTTGAAGCAAGCTCCACCATCTAAGTCTTTCATCAGCCTTTAAGTTCTTCACTTACTAACCCTACTATACGTCATTAAAATTGATTTAATTGAAGTCTCTTTTGTCAGCCTTTAAGAAGTTCACTTACTAACACTACTATACGTCATTAAAATTGATTTAATTAATCTTTTAGCTGGTCAGCAAATCCAATATTATTGGTGGTTTGAATCTTTAAATTAACCTCATGCAAGATAGGTCTGGATCACTATAATATAAAATTGAATTATGCATGATTTCCTATAAACACGCGGTTTCGTGCTCATGTTCAATTTTGATCGCGTGTTTATTAAGCAAGCATAGAAAAAGAATCATGGAGGCCTCCATATATATATACACGCGCGCGCGCGCATGACAGCTTTTTCATGGACTGGCATATTAGAGTGAATAATGCTTTCTTCACTGTTTTTTTATATGAATTTTTAGGATGAGAATAAATATAAAGTTGGTTTAAATACATGAAAATATTATTTTTAAAATATTTATTTATTTCACATGGAGATAATATTTTCAGGTTACAATTAAATTCTCTAAACTTTTAAAAAATTAAAAAAATAAAACAAAAAAAGAATATAATTTTTTTTTAATTGTATGTTTTTTATGTATAGTAATATGTATTTATACACTTGAAACATAATGATAAAACAATATAATTGTTCCTCAAATAATATAACTATTCATGAAATATTATGATTATTCATTAAATAATATGACTATTTATGAAATAATATAATTGTTCATATTAAGTTTTAAATTTTAAATTTCAAATACTATCTTTTAATATTATAAATATCCATATAATAATAAAAAGCAAATTCAGAATATGTTTGTTTTTGTATTTTAAAATTATTTTTAAAAAAATTTAAATTTTTTTATAAATATCCATATAATAATATTAGAAAACTAAATAAAATAATTTGTTTATCATGACTTAATTTATTACATAATAAAAAATCATATTTAAAAATATTAAAAAAATATTTTTAATATAAAATAAATATTATTTTTATTTATTTACAAATTACACCAACATTTTTTATTATTGGAAAGGCAACTATATCAATAGTACTTAGGTGCTGTTCAACAAAATCATACCATCAGTCGCTACTTATTAAAAATAAAAAATAAAAAATACTCTTTATATAGTAATGATGTTTTTCTCTAGGTAGCGGTAGCAAGAGAAGAGCAAATTTAGAATATATTTGTTTTTATGTTTTGAAATTATTTTTAAAAAAATTTAAATTTTTTTTATTTTTTTATTAATTTCAAATTAATATGTTTTTAATATTTTCAAATTATTTTAATATATTAATATTAAAAATAATTTAAAAAAACAAAAAAAAAACATTAAAATATATTTTAATATAAAAAATTATTTAAAAAACAACCACATTTTCAGACAGCAGCCCACTGCTTTTCCTAGGGTTTTTGTTGCACGTTACAATTACTAATTTACTCCTAGAATAAAAACAATTGGCTGGCTGACAAGGGGCTTCATGGTCTTTTTCTCCTTTTCAAAACAATTAAAAGATTAAAATATCCTTGAAAAAACAAAACACTACACATGAGGCATTTTCGTATCATAATTGTTTTTGTTATTTTCAGTTGGCGTCAGCTGCAAATCATTCTTTCAACAAGTAATAAATATTATAAATAAAAAAAGT